CCCCCCCAAACCTCAACCCCCCCAAACCTCAACCCCCCCACCCCTCAACCCCCCCACCCCTCAACCCCCCCCAACCCTCAACCCCCCCCACCCCTCAACTCCCCCCCACACCCCCCCCCAACCCTCAACCCCCCCCACCCCTCAACTCCCCCCCCCCCCACCCCTCAACTCCCCCCACCCCTCAACCCCCCCCACCCATCAACTCCCCCCCCACCCCTCAACTCCCCCCCCCCACCCCTCAACTCCCCCCCCCATCCCTCAACTCCCCCTCACCCCTCAACCCCCCCCATCCCTCAACTCTCCCCCCCACCCCTCAACTCTCCCCCCCACCCCTCAACTCCCCCCCCACCCTTCAACTCCCCCCCACCCCTCAACTCCCCCATCCCTCAACTCCCCCATCCCTCAACTCCCCCCCACCCCTCAACTCTCCCCCCACCCCTCAACTCCCCCCCACCCCTCAATTCCCCCCCCACCCCTCAACTCTCCCCCCACCCCTCAACTCCCCCCACACCTCAACTCCCCCCCACCCCTCAACTCCCCCCCCCGCCCTTCAACTCCCCCCCCCCCACCCCTCAACTCCCCCATCCCTCAACTCCCCCCCACCCCTCAACTCCCCCCCCCCCACCCCTCAACTCCCCCATCCCTCAACTCCCCCCCACCCCTCAACTCCCCCCCCCAAACTTCAACCCCCCCACCCCTCAACCCCCCCCCCTCAACCCCCCCCCAACCCTAAACCCCCCCCACCCCTCAACTCCCTCCCCCCACAACCCCCCCAACCCTCAACCCCCCCCACCCCTCAACTCCCCCCCCCACCCCTCAACCCCCCCCACCCATCAACTCCCCCTCCACCCCTCAACTCCCCCCCCCACCCCTCAACTCCCCCCCCCACCCCTCAACTCCCCCACCCCTCAACTCCCCCCCACCCTCAACTCCCCCCCACCCTCAACTCCCCCCACCCCTCAACCCCCCCCACCCCTCAACCCCCCCCCCACCCCTCAACCCCCCCCACCCTTCAACTCCCCCCCCACCCCTCAACTCCCCATCCCTCAACTCTCCCCCCCACCCCTCAACTCCCCCCCCACCCCTCAACTCTCCCCCCACCCCTCAACTCCCCCCCACCCCTCAATTCTCCCCCCCCCACCCCTCAACTCTCCCCCCACCCCTCAACTCCCCCCACACCTCAACTCCCCCCCCCCACCCCTCAACTCCCCCCCCCACCCTTCAACTCCCCCCCCCCACCCCTCAACTCCCCCATCCCTCAACTCCCCCCCACCCCTCAACCCCCCCCAACCCTCAACTCTCCCCCCACCCCTCAACTCTCCCCCCACCCCTCAACTCTCCCCCCACCCCTCAACTCTCCCCCCACCCCTCAACTCCCCCCCACCCCTCAACTCTCCCCCCACCCCTCAACTCTCCCCCCACCCCTCAACTCTCCCCCCACCCCTCAACTCTCCCCCCAGCCCTCAACTCTCCCCCCACCCCTCAACTCCCCCCCACCCCTCAATTCCCCCCCTCACCCTTCAATTACCCCCCACCCCCGCCTCTCAACCCCCCCCAACCCCCCCACCCCTCAACTCCCCCCCACCCTTCAACTCTCCCCCACCCCTCAACTCCCCCCCCACCCCTCAACTCCCCCATTCCTCAACTCCCCCCATCCCTCAACTCCCCCCATCCCTCAACTCCCCCCACCCCTCAACTCCCCCCACCCCTCAACTCCCCCCCCCACACCTCAACTCTCCCTCCCCCACACTTCAACTCCCCCCCCACACCTCAACTCCCCCAACCCTCAACCCCCCCCACCCCTCAACTCCCCCCACCCCTCAACTCTCCCCCCCCACCCCTCAACTCCCCCCCCACCCCTCAACTCCCCCCACCCCTCAACTCCCCCCCCTCACCTTCCCCCCACCTCCCCCCACCCAACTCCCCCCCCCCCCCTTAGCGCACCCCTCAACTCACCCCCCAGCCCGCCCCTCAACCCCCCCCCAGCCCGCCCCTCAACCCCCCTCAACCCCCCCCCAGCCCGCCCCTCAACCCCCCTCAACCCCCCCCCCCAGCCCGCCCCTCAACCCCCCCCCAGCCCGCCCCTCAACTCCCCCCCCAGCCCGCCCCTCAACCCCCCCCCAGCCCGCCCCTCAACTCCCCTCAACCCCCCCCCCCAGCCCGCCCCTCAACTCCCCTCAACCCCCCCCCAGCCCGCCCCTCAACCCCCCTCAACCCCCCCCCCCCCAGCCCGCCCCTCAACCCCCCCCCGCCCCGCCCCTCCCCGCCCCTCCCCACCCCTCCTCGCCCCGCCCCTCCTCCTTGCCCCACCCCTCCTTCCCGCCCCACCTCCCCGCCCCTCCCCGCCCCTCCCCTCCCCGCCCCGCCCCTCCCCGCCCCTCCCCGCCCCGCCCCCCTCCCCGCCCCGCCCCTCCCCGCCCCTCCCCGCCCCTCCCCGCCCCTCCCCGCCCCGCCCCTCCCCGCCCCTCCCCGCCCCTCCCCGCCCCGCCCCTCCCCGCCCCTCCCCGCCCCGCCCCGCCCCTCCCCGCCCCGCCCCGCCCCTCCCCGCCCCGCCCCGCCCCTCTCCGCCCCGCCCCTCTCCGCCCCTCTCCGCCCCGCCCCTCCCCTCCCCGCCCCTCCCCGCCCCGCCCCTCCCCGCCCCTCCCCGCCCGCCCCTCCCCGCCCCGCCCCGCCCCTCCCCGCCCCGCCCCTCTCCGCCCCGCCCCTCTCCGCCCCTCCCCCCCCCCTCTCCGCCCCTCCCCCCCCCTCTCCGCCCCTCCCCCCCCCCTCTCCGCCCCTCCCCCCCCCTCTCCGCCCCTCCCCCCCCCCTCACCGCCCCTCCCCGCCCCGCCCGCCCCGCCCCGCCCCGCCCCGCCCCGCCCCTCCCCGCCCCTCCCCGCCCCTCCCCGCCCCGCCCCGCCCCGCCCCGCCCCTCCCCCGCCCCTCCCAGCCCCGCCCCTCCCCGCCCCACCCCACCCTGCCCCGCCCCTCCCCACCCCTCCCCGCCCCTCCCCACCCCTCCCCGCCCCTCCCCACCCCTCCCCGCCCCTCCCCACCCCGCCCCGCCCCTCCCCTCCCCGCCTCGCCCCTCCCCCCGCCTCGCCCCTCCACGCCCCACCCCTCCCCGCCCCACCCCGCCCCACCCCTCCCCGCCCCGCCCCTCCCCGCCCCGCCCCTCCCCGCCCCGCCCCTCCCCGCCCCGCCCCTCCCCTCCCCGCCCCGCCCCTCCCCGCCCCGCCCCACCCCGCCCCACCCCTCCCCTCCCCTCCCCGCCCCGCCCCGCCCCTCCCCGCCCCGCCCCTCCCCGCCCCTCCCCGCCCCACCCTGCCCCTCCCCGCCCCTCCCCGCCCCACCCTGCCCCACCCCGCCCCTCCCCGCCCCTCCCCTCCCCGCCCCTCCCCACCCTTCCCCTCGCCGCCCCACCCCTCCCCGCCCCACCCCTCCCCGCCCCTCCCCGCCCCTCCCCGCCCCTCCCCGCCCCTCCCCGCCCCTCCCCGCCCCTCCCCGCCCCTCCCCGCCCCTCCCCACCCTTCCCCTCGCCGCCCCGCCCCTCCCCGCCCTCCCCGCCCCGCCCCGCCCTCCCCGCCCCACCCTGCCCCGCCCCACCCCGCCCCTCCCCACCCCGCCCCTCCCCACCCTTCCCCTCGCCGCCCCACCCCTCCCGCCCCACCCCTCCCCGCCCCTCCCCGCCCCTCCCCGCCCCTCCCCCCTCCCCGCCCCTCCCCGCCCCTCCCCGCCCCTCCCCGCCCCTCCCCGCCCCTCCCCGCCCCTCCCCGCCCCTCCCCGCCCCTCCCCGCCCCTCCCCGCCCCTCCCCGCCCCTCCCCGCCCCTCCCCGCCCTTCCCCTCGCCGCCCCGCCCCTCCCCGCCCCGCCCCGCCCCTCCCCGCCCCACCCTGCCCCGCCCCACCCCGCCCCTCCCCACCCCGCCCCTCCCCACCCTTCCCCTCGCCGCCCCGCCCCTCCCCTCCCCGCCCCGCCCCACCCCTCCCCTCCCCGCCCCACCCCACCCCTCCCCTCCCCGCCCCGCCCCTCCCCGCCCTTCCCCTCGCCGCCCCGCCCCTCCCCGCCCCGCCCCTCCCCGCCCCTCCCCGCCCCTCCCCGCCCCACCCCGCCCCTCCCCCGCCCCACCCCGCCCCGCCCCTCCCCTCCCCTCCCCGCCCCTCCTCGCCCCACCCCTCCCCGCCCCTCCCCGCCCCGCCCCTCCCCGCCCCACCCTGCCCCGCCCCACCCCGCCCCACCCTGCCCCGCCCCACCCCGCCCCTCCCCGCCCACCCCGCCCCTCCCCGCCCCACCCTGCCCCTCCCCGCCCCGCCCCGCCCCGCCCCTCCCCGCCCCGCCCCGCCCCGCCCCTCCCCGCCCCACCCCGCCCCTCCCCGCCCCACCCCGCCCCTCCCCGCCCCACCCCGCCCCTCCCCGCCCCACCCCGCCCCTCCCCGCCCCACCCCGCCCCTCCCCGCCCCACCCCGCCCCTCCCCGCCCCACCCCGCCCCACCCCGCCCCACCCCGCCCCATCCCTCCCCATCCCTCTCCATCCCTCCCCATCCCTCCCCATCCCTCCCCATCCCTCCCCACCCCTCCCCACTCCGCCCCACCCCTCCCCACTCCGCCCCTCCCCACTCCGCCCCTCCCCACTCCGCCCCTCCCCACTCCGCCCCGCCCCACCCCTCAACCCACCCCGCCCCACCCCTCAACCCACCCCTCAACCCACCCCGCCCCACCCATCAACCCACCCCGCCCCACCCCTCAACCCACCCCGCCCCACCCCTCAACCCACCCCGCCCCACCCCTCAACCCACCCCGCCCCACCCCTCAACCCACCCCGCCCCACCCCTCAACCCACACCGCCTCTTCTCCCCCCGCCCCTCAATTCCCCCACACCCTCACGCTCCCTCCGCCCCCGCCCCCGTTGCGTATTGCAAACAGCGTGCTTAGTATACTTAATGCGAGCCAACCGCGGTGCGCGTAACGCATCCCTCGGCGCAGCCAATCGGAGCACGCCTTTTAGGCGGTTGCAACAGCGGTCGGCCAATAGAAAGTGACAGCGCGTTATGGGCGCGTGGGGAGAGAGGGGGGGGGTGAAGTCCACCACGCCCCCCACCGCGAGGTTAATTCATTCATAAAAGCACGTGGTCACACCCAGGGTGGACGCCCTTGTTATAACTGCATGTTGTGTTGTGAGGATTCCCGCTGGCCTTTTAATGCGGTGACATCATGTTGAGATTACAGTACGGCGTTCGGTTGGGTGGGTTGTTCGCTGTGGTGGTAGTAAATGAGACGGCCGAGTGATCATTGAGTCACACGGACTGTCGGCGAGGTCTATTCCTTTCGCCTTTTGACAAGTGGGTTTTTGTTTGTAATTAATTGTGGGTGTCGGGGAGCATTGGCATTGGAGACGGGGCCTTTTACGTAGAGGAGTCATCCATTCGCAGAATTTTACACCGTCGAAGTCCAAGCGACGGACCCCGTGCCGTGCAGGTTCGCTGGATCTCCTTTTTAATATTTCAATGAAGCAATTGACAACTTTGTCGACTCACCGCTGGGTTTGTGGGTTGTTTTTTTCGTACTACGCGCTGTTTAGTTCGGGTTGGTGAAGGGGGAGCGCCAGAACGGTTCTGATATCACTCTGAAACGGATCTTAGCCGTGGCCGCGACTCTTACACTCGGGTAATCCGGTCCGCTTGGAGTCAAATTGTCGTCTTGCTGCAAGAAAATTATGGAAGCCCGCAGTGAATATAACGCACATTCCAGGAGTTTGCACACTCGAGGCGTACACTTTAACGTGCATTCGCACCTACTGGAGTTTGGTTTGCTGAAAGCAATTAAACAGTAAAAACCCTTGACCGGTTAAGGCTGCTTTGAGTTCCCTCGGCAGGGTGGGGCACGTGAAATGTTGATGGTGGTTTGAGGTGTGGAGAAGGCATTTGCAGGGGCGTTGTACAAAAAAAATGTCTTCTGCACTGTGTTTGATGAAATGTTGGTCGTACAGTGTTGTTCATTTGTAATTGCGATGGGGTAACGTGGAAGGACGGGACTACATAGTGCAGTGTGGAGAGGTGTTTTAACAAAGGAGGAAAAGCTTTAGATGATCGTGGCAAGGGCGTGGTTTTCATTATTCAGCGTCCGTGCAGTTTATGACCGAGACTGGAACCTGTTTGCCCATGTTGGGTGCGTTGTGAATATTTAATTACTGTGCACCCAGCCACGTCTCCAAAAGACAATCTTGGAAGTATAGTGCCTTGCATAGTATAGTGACTTTTGACTGCTGCATCTTACAAATGACCTATTTAGAGAGTTTGTTTTATTTAAATGGTGACTAGCAAATGTGTTTACGGTGGAATGTGTTAGAACATTGAATGAACATTCCCGATTGGCCACGTCCTAGAAATGCACTAAAATTTCACAAATTATTGAACACGTTTATAATGAAATTGTTATTGACGAATGTGAGTTTTTGTTTTCTCCTCGGTGTGTTTAGTGTATTCGGTACGCATCTTTGTGAATTAACATTTTTCTGATCACAAGTCGTTTAGTCCAAATAAGTTGGCAAGTGGAAAGAGCACGAGTATGAAAGTTGAATACAGCATTGTTTGCTCAACTTGTTTATATTTTCCTTTTAAAAAAACGGAGCAGACGACTTGGTCACGAGTTAAAAGTGACGTGTGGATGATGCATGAGGCCCCATCGGCTTTATTCACCAAAACCAGGACCCACTGAAATACCCAAGTGTGATACGAATTGGATAACATTTTCTAGCAAAACTTATTTTCGTAAATGTAGCAATGGAATAATTGTAAAATGCCGTTTCTAGAAGAATCTTCTTGCCTTTGAGGGCACCTTTACAGACTTAAACCCGTAATGAATATGGAGATTGCAAATGCAGTGCGGCACGCATAATTTTTTAAAATAAGCGTTACACATTTTGCATTTGCAAGTAGAGATACATCTGGCATATGATAATTTATCAGTGTTCCTTTGGTTCGAGTAGGAAGTTACTGCCTTGTCTTTTTAATTGGTTATTGAGGGGTTAACCATGGTGCCATAGAATACAATGACCTGCTTTTCTGAAGTGCCACACGATCATTAATGCCTGCAAACTTAATAAATGAACTTTGAATGGGATATGCATGTGCTGCTGTTCTGTCCTGTCCTACCATGTCACCATAAATTGGACCAATACATTTTGGCTAGTTATAGAAAAGTTGAGTCGGCATTTTTCCAGAGTGTCTCCTGTCTGGGGGGGGGAGGGTTGGGAGGTGTGTGTCTGGGTGGGTATGTGTAGGGCATGTGTGGGGTGTGTCTGGGGTGGGTGGGTGTGTGTGTGTGGTGGAAGTTGTCGCACTCTGTTGGAGACATAATGTATGTGACCTGACGCAGCGCACTAAGCCCACGGTGATGGCAGCCAGCGCCTGTGGCGGCCCTGGATTGGGACACTTCACTTCACAAATATAAAACAACCTTGGGGGTGCATCGCGTTATGCTTAACGACGAGAAGTCATCATCGTGAAAACAATTTAAAATTGTTGCTTTTAAAATCTGCTACTCATCTGTGTTATTTGTGCGTGTTATCGGGGTTTTTTGCGCTTTGCATTTACTGGACCAACAGTTTGGCACTCTTGTGTGCAAAGTGCATACATGCCTGTTTAAATTGCTTCTTTGAAAAGACAGTGCTGTGTAAACATGGTTAGCAGATATTTTGTGTGCACAGGTTAGTGAATCCAAGGCACATTTTGTTGTTGAGGGTTATGATTGGTAACCGTGCCCCCCCCCCCCCCTCGTCTATAAGGAAGAATGTCTGCATATATTTAATTTCAGGCTGTGACCCCTTTCAACACCAACTCGGCGTATAACATTACAGTACTGTATAAGCTGCCTCTTGGCGCTTGTTTTTAAAGAATATACAGTGATGGTAAAAGTCATTGTTGATTACTGCCTCTGTCTGCACGTATTTTGTCATGGTGGTAGATTTGGTAATCTTGTGCCAAAGTGTTTGTTCACCTGGGATTTTTGTTCAGTCGGGTGACCTTTATGGAGCAAGTTCTGTAAAATGTAAATATATATTTTAGACATCTTACACGATGCCGTACCTTTTTTTGTGTAGTCGGATACATCTTGTGGATTGCCAATTAAATATATTCGTGAGACTTTAACGCAAACTTACATATTGCGCACTGAAGTGAAATGTTGCAGACATATAAATGTAAGTTGCCTGGGCATATTCACTTTTTCTTTATTATTGTAGGACAAGGTTGTATACGAGTGCAAATCTTACCTGTTTTAACCTCCCCCCACCACCCCCCAAGTTTTGTTCTTGGCACTGGTACCGTGGAGTCGATGCAATTGTACCTCCTGGAGGTTTAAAGCATCAAATCTGAGGTGGTTCTTTGATTCGTGCATCAATAATTTATTCCTAACACAACGGAGATTGTGTTGCTGTTGACGTTTTTAATGAATGTTACTATTTTGCATGACCAATTAATGCGAAATAAAGTAATTCTTCGTTAAGTTGATTTCAAGTGTTTTAATTGAACAATTTATAAATTTCTGTCACTGTAACATTTCCTGCAGTGCTGCTGCCTTCTTCCGCTATCTTCTCTGAATTGATTTAAGTCCAGTGGTGATGTGTGCTCACGGTTTGTGTTCATCTTATACGTGTCCTGTCTTCTGTCCCGTCTGCACCGTTTAATCTTTTTTATTGTTTTTTGTGTGCATCTGTTTTGTACTGCCTGTTGCCGTCAACTCTGTACAGTGCTATCTTTTTTGCGATCTCATCTGCGTTGTGTGTTTAGTTCTGTTTGCCTGATTCAGTCTGCATAGCATTACCCATCCACGTGTGCTGTGTGAGTCTGGGAAATAGTATAACATCAAAACGGCATAAAATGCGTGTCATTTGAACAATTAAACATAAATGATTTTCCATGAATCCATTTTAATAGATGCGTCGTTTTTTCCCTTTTTGTAACTCTAAAGTCAGCTGATGGCTCATGTCTGTGCGGACATGTTCGGAGTCCTTGTGGCACATTGCTGACGATACTGAATATTGGCACATCGTGTGTGTTGCCAGTGTCCGAGTGAGATTTGTTGTTTTCGTACAATAAGCAATGACGAAGGGGTGTTCTCACCCACCGTTGGTGATTGTGTGTTTCAGCATGTCTAGTAAGGTAATTTATAGTGACAGCTTGTGATGTTTAATACAGAACAGCTTCCCTTTAAATGTCAACTCTATCGGTGTAGAATAAACGTATTCCAAAATATAATGTACAACTGAGATGTACACACACAGATATTGAGAGGGTATTGGCCAGCACTGTTATTTAAGCACCATCTGTTCTAGAGTTGAATTTACACCTTTTTCTGAAACCATTGGCCATGTGGCCCATTTGAACCCATTCCAGTAAAACTGGTTGCTCTCAAGTTGTTTCGTTTTGCTTGCCACGGGGAATGCTATGGTTTAATACTTTACCTCTTTAAGAGATTTCGATTTAAAGCTTTCGTGACTGCAGGGATTCATCTTCTTGGTTATTTCGGTAAAGTCACGTAGAAGGGAAGTAATAAAATAATAAAAAGAAAACATAATAAAATAATTATTATTTTATTATGTTTTATTTTTATTATTTTATTACTTCCCTTTAAGAGAGTTATACAAATCATAATTTTGGTGCATGAATGAGTTTTAGGATCTTTTTTTTTACTATTTCTCCAAAGTAAAGTTTTCCCAGCTTAACATTAAGATATGATACATTTCAACTTCCAAACAGACTTATGTAGTTATGAAAATGCTACATTAATGTTTTATTAAAATGCTTATTGTAATGTGCCTACATCTGTAAAGAAAAGGTATATGGCCGATTCTTTGGGCAATTTGTGTTTATGGACTTAACATGAAAGTATGAAAAAGGAACTTGAAAATGTGCAGTAACAGAGTGCAGAACCATTTTGGCGCTTTTAAAGATAACGGGCTGTAGAGTTTCCTCCACACAGTGTTGTGCATTTCAAGTGTAGATATAAATACGGCCTATATGTGTGTGTACACTATACATTGTGATGATGACCTCCTTTTTCTCAATAACATTCAATAGCTCCGGTTGGGAGGCTAGCCAGCCCTTTCACCGACCGACCTTTCTCTACCAATCACAAACCTCGATGGGCAATAATAAAAAAAGGCCGCTTCGCCAATCGGTGGTCGCCATGTGACTGGCGTAGGCTTCCCCCTCCCACCCACCGCCACCACCACGAACAACATCGCGTTGTGGTTCTGCTGTGTGTTGCGTGCGTAGTTGATGTTAGCGTAGTTGGTTAGCGCGCTGTACTACGAACCCGGGGAACCCGAGTTCAATTCCCGCTCGCGGCCAATACCAGGTGACGATTATTTGAACCGATCCTGGGCCTTGTGTAAGCATCGCCATTGGGGAGACAAAGACGGCCGGGCGTGGTGCTGGCCATCCACCCCCTCGTGTGCCGTTTCGGCCTTGATAGGT